ATCAGTGTTTTTTAATTTTAAACCAAGTAAAACGACGTCGTTTTCCCTTTTAATTATATTTTCCCCCAAAAACGTTACCAGCTGTGATTTGAGTTAAAAATCCCTAACTCTCTCTCTCTCTCTCTCTCTCTCTCTCTTCGTTGCCTCACTCATCTGCTGCTCTCTCTCTCTCTTCACCACTGCTCGCGTTGTCTCAAGCCCTCAACCACTATTCTTCTCTTTGTTGCCTTGCCGGTGGCCAGTGTTAGCCCCAGGTAAGTTCCTTTCTCTTTTTAACGCCTTTTCAGAATTTTATTAGTGTTTTATTAATGAATATTAATTTTTAATTTAGGTTAATGATTCTTGTTAGTTATTTTTTTATTTTTGATTCTGTAAAATTTAGTACTGTAGTCGCTTTGATAAACTTATGGAAAATAATTGTTGATTTTTTTTTTTTTGAAATTGAGATTCTTTTTTGTGTTTAATATTCAGAATATGGGTATATTCAATTGCTTTTTAAGCACCAATGAGTAGGTTGTTCAACACTTTAGGAATAAAGTCATTGTTTTAGCTCCAAAACAAATATTAATTTATCTTTAGGTTCTTAATTAACTCAATATATATGGGCTTAAACTCTATTAGATCAAAAATTCGGGTAGTGCGGAATTTAGCCAAACAACGGTATAACGACAATAACAAAGACAATGGAAGTTGATAACAACGGTAATTAAATCATATAAAGAAGACACAAATTTAACGTGGTTCGGTTAAAATGACCTACGTCCACAAGCGGAGAGGGACAATTTCACTATACGAATAAGAGTACAAAATTAGAGTAAACACTCTAATTAATCCCAAATACCCTAAGAGAATAACCTCACAAGATCACTCCAAAGGGTTCACACAAGTGCTTCCCAACACTAACTCTCATACAAAACACTCTTAATAAAGGAGAAAATGAAGAAACAAGAAATGAAGACTCAAGTCTTGGTGATGTGTCTAAAATGAACTAATGCCCTTCCCTTTTATAGGCAAAAAAATCTTGGCATCTTAGGTGTAAAAGAAGAGATACAACTTGTGCAAATGATGTCCACCACACAATGCAATATTTTTGGGTCCCAAATAATATTGCCAACAAATTCTACACTTTGCAAAGATGCTTATACTTATATGAGATGGACCCCATTAGCCAAAATATTGGCCATAATTATAAATCTCCACCTTGGCCTAATTTTGGCTGATATAGTAAATTTTCTCCACCTTCTCCGCAAAAGTTCCAATGGGCATATGTCAAAATCTAATGCCATCAAAATCAGACAAGTTGTCTGGTATCGAAACTGTAGTAGGTCCTATAACAGTGGATCCCAATAAAGTATACAACAAACCAGATCTGTGTGCTTTCATGATCACAAGAGCACCATAAAAAAATTTCAGAACTCCACCTTCACCTGCGTAATTGCACCCAAGAGATTCTAGAGTGCCCAAAGAGATGAGATTTTTTTTTCAAGTCAGGAACATGTCTAACATCGGTGAGAATTCTCACCACACCATCGTGCACTTTGATTCGAATTGTACCTTTGCCAATAATGTTACAAGTAACATTGTTACCCAGTTTGACAACTCCACCTGCAACTGAATCATATGTAGAAAACAAGTCCTTGCTAGGACACATATGATATGAACTACTGGAATCTAAAATCCACTCATTGTCTGATCTGAAACTAGTTTCAGTTGCTAAAAATATAGTTCCCTCAATCTCATCAGTTGCACACTAGCTACGGCGGTATCAGTATTTTTGTGCTCATTTTTTCTTTCTTTATGCTTTTCTTTATTTTTCAGTTTATAGCATTCAGAGATTATGTGACCTTTCTTACGACAATAGCGACACTCTAAATTATTGTATCTGGATATGGAGTTGGATTTATCCCTAACAAACAAGCCAACTTCTGCTTGAGTTCCACTAGTTTCCCCAGTAATATCACTATCTATCTGTTCTTTTGATTTTAAGATAGATTTAATATCCTTATAAGAGATATTATCCTTTGCATAAAGCATAGTATCTCTTATATGATTAAAAGATAGGGGTAGAGAACAAAGCAGTAACACGACTTGATCCTCATCTTTAATTTCAGCATCTATATTACTCAAATCCATAAGAATGGAATCAAAAGTGTCAAGATGAGAGAGAATAGAGGTAACTTCACCCATATGAATTGTATAAAGCTTCTGCTTCAGGTAAAGTCTATTTTTCACTGTCCTCTTCATATATAAGGTTTCCAATTTTTCTCACATTACTTTGGTTGTGGTTTCTACAGAAACTTCACGTAAAACCTCATTTGAGAGATTTAAAATGATACTTGCATTTGCCTTTTTGTCTATGACGGCAAACTCACCATCCGTTATTTTATCCGGCTTTTTCTCCTTTCCTTGCAACACCAAGTCTAAGCCATCCTGAATTAGGATAGCTTCCATCTTTAATTGCCACATTCTGAAGTTTGTACTTCGGATAAATTTCTCAATATAGATCTTTGTTAGAGTCATTTTGGCTATTGAAACTAACCCGGTTAGATCCGGCTCTGATACCAATTTGTTAGGATCGGGAACCTGGATAGTGCAGAATTTAGCCAAACAAACAAAGACAATGGAAGTTGATAACAACGGTAATTAAAGCATATAAAGAAGACACAAATTTAACGTGGTTCGGTCAAAATGACCTACGTCCACAAGCGAAGAGGGGCAATTTTACTATACGAATAAGAGTACAAAAGAGAGTACAAAATTAGAGTAAACACTCTAATTAATCCCATATTCTTGTGGCAAAAGGAAAACATGATTTCAATTTCAACAATCTTGAGACACTTTCGAAAGCTAATCATAAGAAAAATTAAATAATCAAACTCATATAGCATAATAAAAGAAACTCAATCCATCTTCCACATGTTGCACAAATCAAAGCCATATATTCATATGCTTAAGAATAGAATTTTAAAAAAATACAGTGGAAAAAACCAACCTTAATGGCGACTGCCGAGAAGAAAATTGAATCAAAACAACATAAAGGACCGACAAAACGGAGTTGTGAGCGAGAACCTCGAACGACCTCGAACCTGTCGGACAACTCGAATCTCGATTGTGAAAAAAACTGAACTGCTGCTCATACTTGAAAAGTTTTTGGGGCTGTTTTTGAGGTGTAAAAGTGCTGGTTTTTCTTCAGAGGTGTAGTGTTTGGCAGTGGTGTTAAGCTACTGGGTTATGGAGTTTCAGAGTTGATTTTAATGGTGGAAAATGGGTGTTATCAATGGTTAAACAGAAGGAAAAAGATGGGATCCCTTTGGAGTATTTTTTTTGGTGCTGCATTTTTGCTCTCTGTCCTTTGGAGGAAGCTGCGGCGTCCAACTTAGAAAACGATTGCTAGGTTTTTTTTTTTCCCTCTCTATGTCTGTGTGTAGTTGCCTAGGTCCTTAGGGTTTGAAAAGGTTATAATTAGGATTTTATATGGGTGTGGGGAAATAACAAGGGCTATTGGATGGAGAGAGGATAGAGGGCTAGGATTAAAGAGTGTGTTGGAGCGGGTCACCTGACTGGGTCGCGGGTCTGGCAGGTGGACTGGGTAAGTGGCTTGGATCAGGTTGGTTGAATTGGGCTTGAAAGGACATGGACATCCTAAAATTGAAATAAGACAATACCAACTCAAGAATCTTAATCTTCCTTCTAAAAAAAATATAAAATCTATACTATAAAATACAAAACTAATTCTAATTAATTAAAATAAACAATATTATATTGTGAAACTATTTTTGGTATTTTCCAAGATTATATGAAAATAAAAGTAGATGAAACTAAATAAAAATCCTAGTAAAATAGTATGACAACAAAAACATTAATGAAACTATTTTTTTTTTATGTTTTTAAAATTTATGTTTTGAAATTAAAATACAATAAAATAAAATTGTATAATAACTCAAGTAACTATTTTAAAAATATTAAAATATTAAAACTAACTTTAAAATTTATACGGGTCAAAAATTACGTGCTTACAATCGACAGATTGATCAAATTATCAATCATAGCCTTCATCCTTTTTCTTTGTTGCTTTGTGAAAATTCGTTTGGGTGTCCTTATCATCATCATAATTTTCTATTACACGTACAGAAATATTAGGACTCACCATAAATATACACACTTGTATAAGTCTTTGTATACTATATATATGCACAAATGCCTACATTAAAACGGTGATAGTGGCTAAGTCTTGCCTCTGAAGGTTATAGCAAGAAGATCTAATGACTTTCTGGATAGTCCACATTTATCTAAGAGTACTGAAAGTTTATTACTCTTATTACGTGTAACATTGCAGGCAATCTTTGTCCATTCACTGTAGTTTTTTCTTATCAATATTCAAAAACCTCAACAAAAAAAAAAAAGACAAATAGCTTATACATAATTTTCGTTTGTAACATATGTTGCGTTTTTAAGGAGTGTGAATGGGAAATGGAAGAGATATCTCTTGGATTGCACTTCTTCATTTTACTCTTTTATTATCTATAAATAGAGAGGCTTAGCCTCATTTTCCACCACTGAGTTCAGTACTATCACATAATAGTTATTCTGTTCTATCCTGGAGGAATTAATCCGCAACCTTAGGCATTGTGAGGGGATTAAATTCCTTAAGGAAACACAAGAAACTTGTGGGCTCGGAATTTTTTCTGCTTTATTTTTTCCTTAAACTAACGTTTATTGATTTACTGGTTTTGAATACAGAGTGATAACAAGCTTAAGGAATTTAATATTTATTTCTGTATTCATCTTACATTCTGTTTTGGAAGACTAAAATCTTATTGATTTTCTACTCCCGTTTTGGAGATTAAAATCTTCGAATTTTCTACTCCAGCTTGAGATTAATGTCTTTGTGACTTTCTACTCAATCTGAGATATAAAAACTCGGTTGCTTGTATTCAGTTTGAAGATATAAAAACTTCACCGAGATACTAATTTTGTTTGTCAATTTTTTTTATAGAAAAATGACAACAAGTGCGGAACAACAGAATGGTTCTGTTGGGACTACAGCTGCAATGGCAATTACGTCTTCAAGTCGCAAAACTCCTGCACTGGCGATGGCACCGGCAGAAAAACCCGGAAAGTTTTTCGGTGTAGACTTTAAGCGTTGGCAGCAGAAAATATTCTTCTACATGACCACACTCAGTTTACAGCGCTTTATCAACGAAGATGTTCCAGTTCTGAGAGAAGAAACTCCTAAAAATGAGCGATTTGTAGTCACTGAGGCATGGAAGCATTCTGACTTCTTATGCAAAAACTATATTTTAAGTTGCTTGAATGACGACTTGTACAATGTTTATAGCGTCATGAAAACATCAAGAGAATTGTGGAATGCTCTTGAAAAGAAGTACAAGACTGAAGATGGTGGACTAAAGAAGTTTGCGGCCGCTAAATTTCTGGATTTCAAAATGATTGACGGTAAATCTGTCATGACGCAAGTTCAAGAATTGCAAGTTATTGTTCATGACCTCCTTGCTGAAGGTATAAACCGAGTCAATATTTTTATTCAAGATATTAATTATTTTACTAAGTATAAATTTATGATTGAAGGTATGGTCATAAATGAAGCGTTTCAAGTTGCGGCATTTATTGAAAAGCTACCTCAGCTGTGGAAGGACTTTAAGAATTATTTGAAATATAAGTGCAAGGAGATGACGCTTGAAGACCTTATTGTTCGTCTACGGATTGAAGAGGACATCAAGGCTGCTGAGAAGAAGTCTCGTGGAAATTCAACAATTATGGATGCAAATATTATTGAGGAAGCTTCAACGAGCAAAAAGAGAAAGAAGTCGTCTGGTCCAAAGAATTACCCAAGCAAAAATAAGTTCAAAGGTAATTGCCACAACTGTGGAAAGATTGGACAAAAGGCTACTGAATGTCGTGCACCAAAGAAGGACAAAAAGAAAAGTCAAGCAAACATGATTGAGAAAAATGATGAAATAGACGATTTATGTGCCATGCTTTCGGAGTGCAACCTAGTCGGAAATCCTAGAGAATGGTGAATTGATTCGGGGGCAACTCGTCATGTTTGTGCTAACAAGGAGTTTATTTACTTCTTATGCTCCCGCTGGACCCAACGAGACAGGTTTTATGGAAAATTTCGCTACTGCAAAAAATGAAGGAACGGGCAAGATAGCTTGAAGATGACTTCTGGCAAGATTATGACTCTAAATGATGTCCTTCATATTCCTGAAATACGGAAGAATTTAGTCTTGACATCACTTCTAGTCAAGAATGGCTTTAAGTGTATTTTTATTTCCGACAAGGTTGTAGTTAGTAAGAATGAAATGTATGTAGGAAAAGGCTACCTTACAGAGGGCATTTTCAAACTCAATGTAATTGCCATTGATATGAATAAAATTTCAGCTTCTTCTTACTTGCTTGAGTCAAATAATTTATGGCATGAACGTTTAGGCCACGTAAACTTCAAAACTTTGAGAAAAATGATTAATTTGGAAGTATTGCCTAAGTTTGAATGCAATAACTCAAAATGTCAAATATGTGTGGAATCAAAGTATATTAAACATCCTTATAAGTCAGTTGAAAGGAATTCAAATCCTTTAGACTTAATTCACACAGATATTTGCGACATGAAGTCAATACCATCTCGCGGTGGAAAAAAGTATTTAATAACTTTTATTGACGACAGTACTAGATATTGCTATATTTACTTACTTAATAGTAAAGATGAAGCAATTGAGGCATTCAAGCAATACAAAAATAAAATTGAAACACAACTAAACAAAAAGATCAAAATGATAAGAAGTGATAGGGGTGGTAAATAAGAATCTCCTTTTGAAGAAATATGTTTGGAATATGACATTATTCACCAAACAACTGCCCCTTACTCACCGCAATCTAATGAAATTGCGGAAAGAAAGAATATAACGTTAAAGGAGATGATGAATGCCTTATTGATAATTTCGGGTTTACCCTAGAACTTGTGGGGGGAAGCTATTCTTATAGCGAATCAAATACTCAACTGAGTTTCCCATAACAAAACGCAATCTATTCCATATGAAAAATAAAAAGGTAGGAAACCCAACTTAAAATATTTTAAAGTGTGTGGGTGTTTGGCTAAAATACATATTTCTAAACCCAAAAGGGTGAAGATTGGACCGAAAATGGTTGATTGCGTTTTCATAGGATATGCAAGAAATAGTAAAGCATATCGTTTTCTGGTTCATAAATCAGAAAATCCTGACATTCATATTAATACGGTAATCGAATCCGATAATGCTGAATCCTTTGAGAATATTTATCCGTATAAAAATGAATGTGAGTCGTCTAGTGAAAACTTTAAGCGATCTCGAGAAGAAGAAAAGGAAAGTACGTTTAATGAGGAAAATCCAAGACGTAGTAAACGTCAAAGGACAATTACTTCCTTTGGACCAGACTTTCTGACATTTTTGTTGGAAAATGAGCCTCAAACACTCAAAGAAGCAATGTCTTCCTCGGAAGCACAATATTGAAAAGAGGCAGTCAATAGTGAGATAGAATCCATATTAAGTAATCATACTTGGGAATTGGTTAATCTTCCTCCAGAAAATAAATCTTTGGGTTCTAAATGGATTTTCAAAAGAAAAATAAAAGTTAATGGTACTATTGACAAATATAAGGCAAGATTAGTTGTTAAAGGGTTTAGACAACGAGAAAGTCTTGATTACTTTGACACATACTCGCCGGTAACAAGGATTACATCTATTCGGGTGTTAACAGCGTTAGTCGCCGTGTATGGCCTTCAAATCCATCAGATGGATATAAAGACAGCCTTCTTAAATGGAGATTTAGAGGAAGAAATTTATATGGAACAACCTGAAGGATTTGTAGTTTCCGAAAAAGAAAAGAAGGTGTATCGACTTATTAAGTCACTTTACGGACTAAAACAAGCACCAAAATAATGGCATGCGAAATTTGACCAAACAATGTTGTCAAATGGTTTCAAGATCAATGAGTGTGACAAATGTGTTTATATTAAGAATACTCCAAATCAAATAGTCATTGTTTGTTTATTTGTGGATGATATGTTGATAATGAGTAATGACATTGCTAACATAAATGCTACTAAGTGCATGTTTACTAGTAAGTTTGATATGAAAGACTTAGTAGTTGCCGATTTAATTTTGGGAATTAAGATCCTTCAAACTCCTCAAGGTCTAGCTTTGTCTCAATCTCATTATATTAAAATGGTACTTGAAAAGTTCAAATATTTGGACTTTAAAGAAGCAAAAACGCCAATTGATTTAAATCATACTCTTGTAAAGAATAAAGGTCAAAACAAGTCTCAATTGGAATATGCTCGAGTGTTGGGAAATTTAATATACATTATGAATTGTACACGACCTGATATAGCTTGTGCGATAAGTAAGCTTAGTCGATACACAAGTAATCCCAACCAAGCTCATTGGATAGCAATGAAACGAGTTTTGGGATATTTGAAATATACCCAAGACTATGCATTGCATTACAATAATTATCCCGCGGTTGTTGAGAGATATAGTGATGCAAATTGGATCATCGGATCAACGGAATCAAAATCCACAAGTGGATACGTTTTTACCATTGGTGGAGGAGTAGTGTCTTGAAAGTCGTCCAAACAAACATGCATCGCCCGCTCTACAATGAAGTCTGAGTTTATAGCTTTAGACAAGGCCGGTGAAGAAGCTGAATGGCTCCGGAATTTCTTAGAAGATATTCCATTTTGGCCCAAACCTGTGGCACTTGTATGCATACATTGCGACAGTCAAGCAGCAATAGGAAGGGCTGGGAGCGTTATGTATAACGAAAAATCTCGTCACATTCGATGAAGGCATATTACCGTTAGACAACTACTCTCTAGTAGAATTATCACAATTGACTATATAAAGTCAAAAGATAATGTATCTGATCTGCTTACAAAAGGCCTACCTAGAGAGGCGGTTGAGAAGTCATCAAAGGGAATGGGACTATGGCTGAGGACAAGTCACTGTGGCGGTAACTCTACCTAGAAGACTGGAGATCCCAAGATCTAGGTTCAAGGAGATCAAACAAAGTCATTAATGACGGTTCAACATTGTCAAATAAAATTTCTTTTTGGTCCATTCTCGTGATGAGACAATGTTCAGTACCAAGGATAAAGAGTTAAGGCTTTTTAATGATTTTTAAATTTGATACGGGGTATATCAAATAGTGTATCTACGGGATAACACACTTAGGAATTACCTATGTAAGTGTGAAGTGTAAGCCGCTTCAAGGAGAATTCTGTAAGGTAGTTCTCTACGCACTTATGAACCAGGTGGTGTTCATGGCTGAAACGAACACAACAATGAGAACCAAAGACGGTTAAGGGTTGATTGTGTGACTTATGATTGTCTAGGTATACATCAAAGTTTGACGGTTCAAAGATATCAAATTTACCTATTGACCAAGTATATCCGACATAATCTCACTACGAAAAGTTCAAAGGGAAACCTACTTATCCAGATGCGATTAATCCTTAATTGCGAATCACACAGTATTTTCATGCATGTTTTTCCACATATGTCCATTCCTCATTCATGTGTGAGATTGTTGCGTTTTTAAGGGGTGTGAATGGGAAATGGAAGAAGCACCTCTTGGATTGCACCTCTTCATCTCACCCTTTCATGGGGTGTGAATGGGAAATGGAAGAGGCACCTCTTGGATTGCACCTCTTCATCTCACCCTTTCATTGTCTATAAATAGAGAGGCTTAGCCTCATTTTCCACCACTGAAAAATCTGAAATCTCTCCCCTCAATTTTCTGCATACTGCATTGGTTTTTCAAAAGCAAAACATAAGCATTTTGTGTGATTTGCTCCACCATTTGAGTTCGCCGAAATTCTGTGATTTGAAGTACCGCTATCACAGAATAGTTATTCCGTTCTATCCTGGAGGAATTAATCCGCAACCTTGGGCATTGTGAGGGGATTAAATTCCTTAAGGAAACACAAGAAACTTGTGGGCTTGGAATTTTTTCTGCTTTGTTTTTTCCTTAAACTAACGTTTATTGATTTACTGGTTTTGAATACACAGTGATAACAACATATACAAAAAGAGAATATACTCACAAAGAATTATACATTCATCATTTTATTTATGTGAAAATCTTTTTACCGTAAAATATTGTGGGTAGCGACTGTATCACTTAAGATGGGCAAAACACACACGACAATGTTATTCGTTTGTATTTACAGGAGATCTTGATAAAACTCGATTTTATCTCGATTACAGGAGAACTCGATAAAACTCGATTTTATCTTGGTAAATCAATTGTACTGCAACCAGACTCTAGTAATAATTCTATGCATCTGATGATTAATCAAAAATTTACTTTACTTTGGATTCAATGAATAACCATATACAAGAATAAAATATTCAAAGAACTAAAATTGGACCGGGGATATAAAGCAAATTTTTTATGAACCAAACAGATCCAATACCAGAAATAACAGCAAGTAATTGATAAACTTCTCATGAAATTGGTATTTAAAACTAGAAGTGTGGAATTATTGACCTTCAATTTAATCTCATACCGCGGAATTCTTCGAGGAAATAATATTTCACATAAATTTCTGATTGACGCCATGGTTTATTTCTGTTTCCAATTTTCCCTCACAAGGTCGTAGAATTGAATGGTAAGAAACATAAAATTGAACTGATTACATCAAAGGATAAGTTATTCAACATATCTTTTATTTACTTTTTATCTAATGAGAGATATTTATACAATCAAATTGTTTATTAAATTAAAAAGGATAAGTATCTACACTAAGCATAAATTGATAACCTCGAAATGATGGCCTTTGGAAATTGATCAAATTATATGTTTGAAAAATCTCTTTGCAACTTATAGTATTACCTATCAAATTTTCACGAATAATAGAGAAAAACTTTCGTGTTCAGTACTAGTTTCATTCTGTTATTATGCAGAGAACATGTATAAAAACGTTAGTAGAAGATGAATTGAAAAAAAGGAACAACAAACTAGACAACAATAAAAGAAA